AATTAGGAAGATCAGACCCAACGCTTGAACAGTTTATTTTATTGTTGAATGCATATGTCGTGGAGGGGCTTTTGAGAAGCTAAAAGAAAAGTGAAAAAACCCCTCTCCTTGTTGGAACAGCAGCCTGGAGTCTCAGCTTGCCTTCGACTTCCCCAGTGATGTTTTAAGATCTTGTGTAAACTCACTGTGGTTTGCCTTCGGGCATCACGCTTGTTTAATTTGGCTGTATCATATTTGTAATTGCCACAGTTTAATAATTGGCCAATATTCTTGACAGCAATTTGCAAGTCTCTTTTTAATGGAATGCTTTGCCTTTCATTTCCACAGTGTTTAGTTCAGACCTGGGCTAAGTCTTTGGATTCATGCTGGGCCAACCAATGAGTCAGACCAACAGTGTGTACTGATATGGTACCATAGTACAATTGGAGGCATCCAAAAATGCCTTGTAATGTCCTTAAGATGCAGCTTAAGTATCTTCTACATGAAGCTTTTCCTGATCCCCCCCAACTCCTGGTGCCATCCCTCCCAAAATACTTTGTATGTATGTGTGTATATTAACTTCATAGCTATTTCTATGTAGTTGTTTCCTCCATTAGAATGTACATTCATTTCAAATAGGGATGAATTCATTCTTTGTACCAGCCTGGCGCATAGTAGGCTTTTACAGAATACTTATTGATTGATGGTCCATGGCCTCTTAAATATTCCCAGTCAGCTTGGGTCACTTTATATGCCATGGAAAATCCTTTTGATAGCCAACCTTTTTTTTTTTTTCTGGGAATATATTCTCTTCCCACCCCTTTTTTTGTTTGAACTTGGGATTTCATTGGTGTAGAAACTCTCTTCATTCAGGCCAATCAATAGCCCTTTGAAACGAGATTTAGATGCATGGGAAACTGGGAAAGATTTATGAAGAGCAAGGAAGGATAAGAGGTGAGAAGGATGAGAAGGCGGGGATGGGGTTCCATTCTGTACAGTTGACTTTGATCTGTTAATCAATACTCTTTGAATCTGGTCATTTAATCTGTAATACATCCATACAGCTGATAGTTCTCTCTGCTGTCCACAAGAGTAGGATAAGAGAAATTGACAAACATTATGTCATAGATGTAGGAGTGGAAGGAAAGTCGGAGAAAACCCAGATCAACTCTTTTCATTTTACAGGGACTGTTGCCTTTCTTTGTATCTCCAGCATGCTTAGCCTTTTGGCTTCCTATTGATTATTGACAGTGGCCCTTAATTAATTTCAAAGATCATGTGATTTGTTTATTTATATTTTCAGAGATCACCCATACTTTTATTAAGGGTGTAGTGAAATAGGAAAAAAAAAGCATACTGCCTGGCAAATAGTAGGTGCTTAATAAATGCTTGTTGACTTGGCTTGATTTGACCAGAAGTGTGGACATTAGAACCCCTAAGTCTTAACTCTGGTTGTCTTTCTACTAGATTATTTTAACTGTAGTCAGTCCTAAGGAGCACCGAGTTGTTAGAATTAGAATGGTCTCGGGGAAGCTAAGGAAGGCTCTCTCTTATTCTGCTGCTGCCTCTCTGAGATAAGAAAAGCTGTTTTCATTTTGTGTGACCATAAACCATGTAAAGATCAAGACTGTGATACCCTGATGGAATTCATTTTCCCAAGATATTATCAAATAGATTTTTATATGTGTTTCTGACTGTTTGCAAGTAGAGGGTTTTTTTTTTTTTTTTAATGATCTGATTGATGGGGTGGAGGAAATGAAGATGCAGTTTCATTTTTAATGCTAAAACTGAGACTGGAAACAAGCCAACGGTGTGTACGTGGCAATTTAAAATATATGTACAAATCCACAGGTAGAGTGGTCTGTCTTACCTTGAATGCCTAGATTGGGTGGGGAAATGAACTTCTATAGTTCCTAAATAAAATCATGTCTCCATTTTTTCCTTGAAATAAATTTCCTAAAGCTTTAAGATCTTGGAGAAAGAGTGTTCAAATATACTGACATGTCCAAGAACTCACACACATACAGATTTCTTGGGCACACTGTAGACATCTTAATGAACCATCCATTTATAAGACCTGAAGAAACGTTTACCTAGTATAAGCTTGTATATTTACCAAAATATTTTGTGAATGGAGAATCTGCTTTTATTCTAAATTTCTAAAATTTATCCCTACACATAAATTCATAATAAGGATTAAATTTACCTTTAGATATCCAGTGTTGAAAAGTATCAACTTAGGAAAAGAGCCAGCCTGAGACTCCAAAGGTCTTCAGCTGGTCTTGAGGCTGGAACAAGAGACAGGCTTGACTTAGTGGATAGAGCACTAACCCTGGAGTCAGGAAGAACTGAGTTCAAATCTAGCCTCAAACATGTACTACCTATTATCCTAGGCGAGTTACCTTATCGCTGTCTGCCTCAGTTTCCTCATATGTAAAATGCGGATGACAGTAATATCACCTGCCTCTCAGAGTTGTGAGGATAAAATGAAATAATATTTGTAAAGTGCTTTGTGTACATTAAAGCACTGTGGACATGTTAACTATTATTACTGCCCAGTGTATACACAACTTTGTATTTATCTGCTCATATCTATACATGTATGCCAAAAAGTCATGTTTTATACATTAAATGTGGTATATGATAATATTATAACATATGCTAATATATCACACCCTTATGTTTATATGTATATATGTATGTGTGTATATCTATACCTATTTCTCTCTATCTAGCCATTCTTTCTTTCTGTCTATCTGTCTCACGTCCATTTTCCTTGGTTATGGTCTCCATGATTTCTGTGATTGCACTGCTGTTCTCTTTGAGCTTTGAGGGTGAAATTGCATATTCCATTCCGGGAGTGGTCATCAGGGTAGACTGTCTATTCAGGCACGTTGACTTTTGGGAGGCCCATTCTTCTCTCCAAAGAGAGTTCTTTGATCCTCAGTGACTTTTTCAGACTATTAAAGACGTTGTCATCCTGGTAACCACTTAGCATTCAGACATCTGTCCCTGGTTCAACATTGGCTACAGTAAGTAGATGTGAACAGAGGCTGTTTAGCGATTTCAAAGATGTTATGCTTTATAATATTCATTTAAATTTTAAGAGATTACCTACACTTTTCGTAAAAGTGTAACAAGATGGGAAAAAAAGCTGAATTTAAAGGACTGTCTATACAACTGTTAGCTGAGGGATCTCTAGAGCAATTAGCCCATCCAGATGTCTCTTTCAGCTTGTGTCCTCGAGGTCACTGGTGCCTCAGGGCCTGGAGAGAGCAAGTTATTCTTCATATTTGAAGTCTTGTGAGATGTGATTGGCCTTTAGATGTGTGGAATAGCTTGATCTCTGCAGCCTTTCTGAGGGTCAGCCTCTAGGGACAGAAGCTAAAATATCTTCAAGAGTGATTCTTAGTCACGTGTCCATGACTCACATGAAACATATTTTCATTAGTTATAAAAATTAAAACGATAACTGTTGAAATTCAGTGGAATGCATGTATCGGTGTCTCTTCTTTTCCTGCCCTGATTTCTTTCATTCCTTTAAAAAAAATTCTGTTCCTTTTATTTTTTAATTTTATTTTTCATCAGTAAATTATGTCTAAGAAGTGACTCTTTAAAGTGAACAACTTTTTCTTGATTTTGAAGGACATGTGCAACTTACATGATTTATTCCCATTGGCAGTATGTGTAGGAGACATTTTATATCACTGATATATTAGAGGTACACTCTGTTCTGCTGTATATAACTTGATATATACGTTTCCCAAAAGCATCGCTCTATGCAAAATCAAGCAATAAAAACCACAGGACTTATGGAAAAAATCTGGTTAGGGGCACTGTACTCAAAAACTCTGTAAGTGACATAAAAAAGATAGGAATGTAATTTAAAAATGATAGCACAATTTTATATATGTTATATAGTTAAGAAACACAAGAATACTACAGTAAGTAATGGCTGGGGCTGGGGCTGAGGCCTCAGGCTGCTGCTTGGCCTGCAGCCTGGGCTGCCCAACCAAGTTGGGCAAGTGGACGTTGGGCAGGCCGACTTTGGGCAAGTCAACTCTAGGACCTTGGGCCAGAGGCTAAGGTGGATGGGAGTAGTGAGGACCAGCCCTCATCCCCCAGCTCTTACTGTACCAGAGGATGTACAATAAATCTGTCCCTTCATTTGACTCTTAAGTAATGCATATGTTCCAGGAGTATTGTTTATAAATCAAATCAGTTTCAGTGGAAGAGGAGCTTGGGCTATTTGAAGGAATCTGGTGGTAAAAATCCTCCTTCTGTAACATGAAGAGTCCATTTTGTACAGTGAATTATCAGTCAACTCTTTGTGCATGTGATTTTTCCCATATCATTTCTTTTTTATTTTAAAAAATTTCTTGGTTTTGGATACACAATTATTTCCTGGTATAATTGAAAATTATATCACCCTCACCCTTCCCACTGAGCCTTCTCTTGTAACAAAGCAAAACACTTAAGCAAATATGAATGACAAAATGACTTTCATTGGACAGCGTAGGCAATGTTATAGCCTTGTCAGACCCTGCTTCTTTGCCACGGGGAGGCAAGTGTACTTCTTTGCCTGTTCTTAGAACCAGGAGTGGTCATTGCAATTAATCTGAATTTGAGTGCTTTTTCATGTTTTCATTCATATCATAGCCATCAGTGTTTGTGGTGTTCTCGGTTCTGATAGCTTCAACTCTGTATCAGTTCATACAAGTTTTCCATTGGGCTCCCCATTATAAACAAGTACTTTTAGCTACAGAATTTAAGAACAGCTGCTTTGTAGAGCTTGATAAGGTTGGAGTCAGGCATACTGAGAACAGGGCCTGGAGAAGGAAAAAAAAATGTGAATGAGTTAATGGACAAAATGTTCCTTTTTTAACCAACTCATAAAATTTAAAAAAATTGACTTGGATGTTTTGGAAATGCTTCTATTTCACCTTAACTTGATTTTTTGAAGGAAAGGGCATTTTTTTTTAGAGAAGGATTCAAGTTAAAATTTATGTTTATTTTCACAGGCAACTGAAGAATTGGGAAGAAGTGATTTCAAAGCCTCTTCTGATTTACAAAGGCAGCCTGTGACGGGAAGAACTGTAAGCCAAGCTGACCAGGGGAAGACTCTGGGTTTCACCAAGAGACCAAAATGGCGTCCCAATGGATGGTCACCACGTTGGGGTTGATGAGTTGGTGTTTGGCAACAGCAGGTAGGTCAGGTCGGCCCATGTGACTCCTGTGTTTGTTGTCTTCTTTTGGAAATATTGTACACTTTGTTTTAGAATTCATTTTAATTCAGCTAATCTGCTACGTGTGAGGCACTGGGGTAGGAACAGGGCATTCAAAGACCTGACAGTTTTGGTCCTCTGGGAATTTACCTTCTACTGAAAGACCTTAAGTAAGCCAAGGTTTCTGCAGTCTATGTGGGAGAGACTAAGTGCTGTGTTAGCAATCTGGAAATATAGCCTGAATGAGGACCAGAGATAGCAGGAACCAGCTGGACTGATGGGCTAGCTGGAGTCAGGGACTGGTGAGCAGAGTGTCTATCAGTTAAGATGTCTTATTGAAGAGCTATTTTAAGATATCTTGCTGAAAGTAAGTAGGAATAAGCATCTTTTTTGAATGCCATTGTGGGACTGTGAGATGCTCACGCTCTTCTCTGTTACCATTTGTGGGCAGTTTCGTTTGATGACATGATGGGAGGGAGTAACAACATGGAAGCAGTGGACCTGATGCTTATTACTGCAGTGACTGGAGGGCAGCCAGGTGGCACTGCAGTGGATAGAGCCCCCGGCCCTACTAGACTGTAAGCTTCATGAGGGCAGGGACTGTACTTTATCTGAACTTTGCATTTTCCCGGGGGAATTTTCCCCATAGTACAATGCTGACAATACAGTTGTCACTTAATAAGTAAATGTTTGTTGTCGACATCACATTTATATATATATATATATAGCACTTTACAAAACATTTGAAGTAGGTTGCTCCAGGATTATCTCTCTTACAGGTGGCAATACTGGAGCTCAGAAGGTGTTTGGTTTTTTTTTTTTTCCGACAAGGCAGTTGGGGTTAAGTGACTTGCCCAGAGTCACACAGCTAGTAAGTGTTATGTATTTGAGGACAGATTTGAACCCAAGTACTCCTGACTCCAGGGCCTATGCTCTATCTACTGTGCCCACCTAGCTGCCCCTCAGAAGGTTTTTGTGACCAACCCAAGGGCCACACAATTAAGTGTCAGAGTCAGGTTTTGAATCCAGTTCTTCTGATCCCAAGGCTAGACTCTTCACCATACAGGCTGCCTCACTGAATCAGAAAGTAGTAGGGTAGGGAGCGTAGCTCTGTGGAAAACTGTGGCTGTTTTTTGATGAAAAATGCCAGGTCCTGCTTTATTGATTAAGCATTAGCTTCTGGACTCCTTTTTCTTTTTTTGACTCACATTGCAACAGATTACAGAAAAGAAATAAATCAACTGGATGGACAGTGGTGGTTTTGGGGACTGGAAGGCCACACTCTTTGGGCATTTGATAATTGATCACTTTGTCTAATGCCTTTTTCCCCCCTGTCTCGAGTATTGCATTCAGCACTGGACATCTCATTTTAGGGAGGAAGTTTATAAGCTGAAGAGCATGCAGAGGACACTAACCAGGATTGGTTACACAGCTAGTTAGTGTTTGCGGTGGAATTTGAACTCAGCTCTTCCTAACTGCAAACCCTGCTTTTTCCCCAACTGTTCCTGCTTGGGGCCAAATGGGAGAAGGTCTTCCATGCTAGCTTAAAGGAGCCTGGATTTGGTGCAGCAGCCGGTGGGAACCGTTGAAGGTCCTTGCCCACTAGGGCTGGCATGAATGCCTTGGAGGTAACTGAGACTGTAGTCTCCTTTATTGACTCCCCTCAATCAACTGGAGCTCAGCTGGTTAAACACCAGTTTTGTTTTCTTTTTGAAGATTAAGCCATAAGGAAAATATACCAGGGCCCCGTTCCCCCCTTTGGGTAGGTCTTGTGATTTGGGGGGGTCATTTACACTACCCTTCCTCTGAAGCGGGTGGATCTTAGGCACAATGGAATGTAGTATTGCAGGGGTCTCCTGGGAAGCCGAGGCTGTGGATCAGAGCTGCAGCAGAGCCGAGCTTAGCCAGTTAGTTAACTAAAGATCTGCTCCAGTCCCCAGAAGGCTGCCCGACTTGTTCCAGCCCTGTGGCCTGGCTGCCCAGGGTAGCAGGCCAGGCATTTCCTCTGGAGCCTGTGGTGAGGGACAAGCGGGGCAGGGGGCAGCGTGCCCCCTCCGAGGCTGGTGACGGCTTTATTTTGATTAAGCTTTTCCTCACCTGCCCTTCACTCTTGATGCCTTGAAGAGCATTCCTGGAAGGGGGAGGAGGAGTGGGGAGGATGGTGTGGCTCTAAGAGCCCTGCATTTTCAAGAGTGCCTCCCGGGTGGGAAAATACTCCCTGACCCCCACTGGCTGACACCCTCCCCTCCATCCCCTAATCTTTACAAGGTGGCTTGGATGGAGAGCTGAAAGAAGGTCCTTGAAACTGGCTGCAACCCAGTGTTAGAGGCAGAGTTCTTAACCTGGGGTCCCTGAATTTCTTTTTACAAATATGTATCTATATGTATATAATAACATAGTAACTGTACATATTTCAGTATAATTCATTTCCATTGTAATCCCATAAATTTTATTTTAGGTCTTTTAAATCATTACTTTGATATGAGGTCCACGGGTTTCAGTAGAAAAAAAATGGCTGAGACCCCTGTTTTATAGAGGGGCCGGATCACGGAGAGGTTAAGTGATTTGCCTAGGGCAGCACTGACAGGTTCTGGTAGCTAATCTGTGCCAGAGGCAGGGTTCAACCCAGGCCTCTCCCATTCTCATGCTGTCTGGTCTTCTAGCCACTGTGCCAAGTGTTAACCTTAAAAATAAAAATCTAACTCATTTTTAAAAATAGATTTTTATTGATATCTTTTGTTTTTACACATCGCAGAAAATCCCAACTAATTAATGCTACACAGCTAGTTTCTGAAGTAGTTATCTTTAAAAAATGCCTGCCACACCACACACACACACACACACACACACACACACACAGAGGTGCACACACACACACACACACACACACACACACACACACACACAATTTCCTGCTGCTTCTGAAGCCTGCCAGAGTTAATTAGGATTCAGTTTCCAATAACAGGAAAAAGACACACACAGGAAGAATTCAGGGAAATCAGTTGAGATCGAAAGCCTGGACGCGCCTGCTGTGGGTTGCTCTGTGCCAGGGTTGAAGATGTTGTCTGGGATGAACTTTGCAGCCAGCCAGACCAGTGTTCCCCTGGATGCACAGGTGACTCCCCTCATCCCAGTGTCTCATTTTGGTGCCCAGATGCATCCTTTTGGGAGCCTGCCCACACCCTGCACACACATGGGTTGAGCAAATATATTGCTTTTCATTTCTGGTGGATGTACCTAGAATTCCAGGTAGAAGATCTAGTGGGGGTGGGGGAGGGAAGATAGGGATTTCTTTCAGTCAAACACATACTCAAGCCAGAAGGTCGCTAGGTGCCAACCCCCCAGGGCTGGGGATTTTGAATGGCCAGTCAAAGACCTTGGGCTCCTTGTGTCCTGAATTAAAACTCATTTAGTAACATGGAACTCGAAACAATACCTTTTATAGAATCCCAGAATTCAGCTACTACTGGGCTGTCCACAGGAGAGAGATAGCCTAAGCCCCAGATTTCTGGTTTAGGTTTCTGGAGCTGCCTGCCCCACCAGCAGTGGGAGAGACTACCAGTGTCCTCACTGGGAATAGTTTTGCAGGCAGACAAAAGCACAGATATGATCACTAAAGGACTGCTTTAATCTGTTCTTTGGGACAGGGGTTGGTCTTTTCATCTCTCCTTGCTGCTTTGGTTTTTTAATCTCTCCTTTGGAAGATTAGGAGGGTTCTCTTTTCTTTGCTCATCTAAAACCCTAGCTATCTCAGTCCCCCATGGATTCTTCCCTGAATACCCAGGGCCAAATGGATTCCATTAGATAAGGGTGTTGGAATCCGGAATACCTAGATTCAAATCCTACTTCTTTTTTTTTTCTTTTAGTTTATTTTTCTCAATTATGTGTACAAATTTTTTAAAACATTTAAAAAAAATTTTGATTTCCAAATTCTCTTTTGCTCTCCCTCCCCTTCCCCCCTTGAGAAGGCAAGCAATTTGATATAGATCATACATGTGAAATCATGCAAAACATTTCCTTATTAGCCATGTTGCAAAATAAAACACAAATCAAAATAAAAACAAAACCAAGAAAAATAAAGAAAGTAAAAAAAATCTGCTTCGATCTGCATTCAGACTCCATCAGTTCTTTCTCTAGAGGTGGATAGCATTTTTCATCATAAGTCCTTTGGAATTGTCTTGGATCATTGGATTGCTGAGAATAGCTAAGTCACTCATAGTTGATCGTTGGACAGTATTGCTGCTACTGTGTATAATTGTCTCCTGGTTCTGCTCACTTCACTTTGCATCAGTTCATATGAGGCTTCCCAGGTTTTTCTGAAATCATCCTGCTTGTCATTTCTTATAGCACAATGGTATTCCATCACAATCATATACCATGGCTTGTTTAGTCATTCCCCAACTGATGGGCATCCCCTTAATCAAATACTTCCACTTCTAATACTTCTTAGCTATGTTATCCTAAGTCACTGAGCCTCAGTTTCCTCATTTGTAAAATGAATATTAACCCTGTAGTACAATCACAAGATTGTAAAGAAGCTTTAAAAATGTGATCCAATTTTATTTTATTGTTTATTTATTTATATTTAATTTTTTTATTATTAAGTACCTATTGTGTGCCAGGCAATGTGCTAGGTCCTGAAGATACAAAGACAAAACATGTCCCTAGTGGAGAGAAAGTTAATTAACAACAACAACAACAGTAATAAATAATAGTTCCAGGGTCACTTTCTATGTAAAGCCTTTCCAGATTCCCAAGTGCTAATGCCCCCCCTTCCCTAATTATCTGATATTTATTTGTCTTTATCCTTTTTATAGGGTAGCAGGTGGATAGAGCATCAGGCCTGGAGTCAGGTGGACCTGAGTTCATATCTGGCCTCAGACACTTAATAGCAATATGACCCTGGGCAAGTCACTTAACCCTGTTTGCCTTAGTTCCTCATCTGTAAAATGAGCTGGAGAAGGAAATGGCCAATTACTCTA